CAGACTGGGAGGGGCTGGGCAGGTGGCTCGGTGGTAGGGCGCTCGCCTAGCATGCATGAGGCCCTGGGTTCGATTCCTCAGCACCACAGACACAGAAAGAGCCAGACATGGCGCTGTGGCTCGAGAGGGAGAGGGCTAATCTTGAGCCAAAGAGGCTCAGGGACAGCGCTCAGATCTTGAGTTCAAGCCCCAGGCCTGGCAAAAAAACAAGTTTAAAAGTCAGTATTTTAAACTTTGGCTATGTAGTATGGGGGGCAGTTCACCACCTGTGTCCAGTTTAAACACTACATTGAAAACCACGTGAAGCGAATCGCTCAGTGTCTCAATCACACCTGCTAACGTTCAGTTTTGTTCTTATTATTATCATCATCACTATTATTATTGCAGTTTTTGTGCCAGTCCTGAGGCTTGAACTCTGGGCCTGGGCGCTGTCCCTGAGCTTATTTTTATTTTTGCTCAAGGCTGGCGCTCTACCACCTGAGCCACAGCACCACTTCTGGTTTTCTGGTGGTTCATTGGAGATCAGAGTCTCACGGACTCTCCTGCCCAGGCTGGCTTTGAACCGTGATCCTCGGATCTCAGCCTCCTTGAGGAGCTGGGCTGACCGGCGTGAGCCACGGCGCCCGGCTCCGGTATGTTGTTCTACGGTCTCTGTAGCTTGCATTTGTAAGGCTGGTGGGCAGGTAACGGGCCTCTGGCCCGAGTGGCGTGTTCCCCTCCCGGCAGCCCGCTCTTCACTGCCTACCCGGCGACAGGTCCAGAGAAGGGAGAGCAGGTCCCCCGGGGCCACGTCCTCCAGCACCATGTACAGCGGCAGGCGCTCGGCACAGCACCCCTCCAGCCACACCAGGTTCCTGTGTCTCCCCAGGTGCTGATAGAAGCGGATCTGCCCTATGAAATCCTGCACGTCCTGCAGCCCTGCTGCTGCTGCGAGGGGCGGGAGGGGAGGGACAGACAGCAGCTGAGGCAGACTTGAGGAGTAAGAAGCAGCTTCCAGGCTGGTTGTGCACGCCCGTCATCCCAGCTCCTCACGAGGCTGAGATCGAAGGATCGTGGTTCAAAGCCAGCCCGGGCAGGGAAGTCCACGAGACTTTCAAGGCTGGCGCTCTACCGCTTGAGCCACAGCTCCACGTCCGGTTTTCTGGTGGTTCGTGGGAGATGAGAGTCTCAGGGACTTTCCTCCCCGGGCTGGCTTTGAACCCTGATCCTCAGATCCCAGCCTCCTGGGGAGCTGGGATGACAGGCGTGCGCCGCGGCGCCCGGCGGACACACTTCCTCACGGAGAACAGCTCTCGCTGTACCTCTTAATGTCTTGAGGACCACACTCTTGGATTTCGCGGGATCCCCGGGGTTCATCTGGGTTCGAAAGATGGAGCCCCAGGTGCCCCTGTAGATCTGCTCCAGGGCCTGGGACAGCTGGGCCCGGGGCAGCTGCAGCTCGGCCAGGGAGGGCGCCACGGCCGCCAGGAAACCCTCCACCGTCCTCTCCTCCAGCGCCACCGATATGTCTCCTCGCTGCCCTGCCGCTTCCAGACCCCTGGAGGAGGCGACCTGAGCATCGCCTAGGAGAGAGAGATGCCGTCGGGCCAGGAAGCGAGAGCCACAATTACATCCTCTCTAAAGACCAGCCCCGGCGGCTCCCGCCCGTCACCCCAGCTCCTCGGGAGGCTGAGACCGGAGGATCGCCGTTCAAGGCCAGCCCGGGCAGGAAAGTCTGTGCATGAGACTTTTGTCTCTAATGACCACCAAACATCAGGAAGTGGCGCCGTGGCTCAGGTGGTGAAGCGCCAGGCTTGAGTGGAAAAAGCTAAATGGGGGCGTGAGGCCCTGAGTTCAAGATCCTGGCCCACCTCCCTCCCCCACCAAGAAAAGAACTAATAGGACTGAGGGAGGTCCCGGGGGGCCATTCTTGTCATCAGACACAAGCGTGCACTATGGACGCAGCCCCCCCCCCCCCCATGGACACGTCCCTCGCTGAATCTTGGTCCACGATTTTCCTCCCGCTCACCCTCCTCCCCGATCCCCTGCTGGGCCCCCAGGTTGGGGGTTCGTTCACCTCCACGTCGGGGGCGCTGCGGCTGGAATCTCTGTCCTCGGATGAAAAGCCACAGGATGACGGCCAGGAGGAGGAGGAAGAGGCCCACCAGGAGCGTGGGGACCACAATGACCTCATACTGCCCCTCCCGGACCACTGCGGGAGGCGGGAGGGGACCGAGGTCAGAGGCCTGGCCGGTGCGGCAGGACCCCCCGCGACCCATCCGCAGAGCGGCAGACACCAACACAGCATCGCCACTGGCTTCCTATTCCTCCTCTTCAGTGTGTGTGTGTGTGTGTGTGCATGCACACATGCATGCACTAGTACTAGGGCTTGAATTCAGGGCCTGTGCACTGTCCCTGAACTTTTTTGTTCAAGGCTGGCGCTCTACCACTTGAGCCACAGCACCACTTCTGGCTTTTTCTGTGCATGTGGTGCTGAGGAATCGAACCCAGGGCTTCCTGCGTGCTAGGCGAGCACTCTACCACTGAGCCACCTTCCCGGCTCTGGGTGTCTTTGTTCAGAATTTCTAAGGGTCCCTGGTTCCTAGCCCATCAAATATACATGGTTGCTTCTTTTCTTGTTTTCTCTCCTTTCCTTTTTCTTGCTTTCCTTCTTTCTTTGAAATGATAGTTTTACACGTAGGATGTTCAACATCGAAAGAAGTGTGTGCCGGGATCTGAGGATCGCCGTTCAAAGCCAGCCTGGGCAGGAAAGTCTGTGAAACTCTTTATTTGCAATAAACCACCGGAAAATCAGAAGTGGCGCTGTGGCTCAAGTGATAGAGCTCTAGCCTTGAACTGAAGTGCTGAGGGACAGCTCCCAGGCCCAGAGTTCAAGCCCCATGACTGACAAAAAAAGAAAAAAGAAAGAAAGAAAAGAAAGAAGGAAAGAAAGAAAGAACTGTGCGCTACAGAATCATTTTCATGTTGATTGTGGAAATAAAGATAACCTGTGCCATTACAGTGATCTGAAATGCAGCATCATGGGCTTCTCCCGCATTTTAAAAGTGTGCAACATCATAGCAATATCATTTAGGGTGAACTAACACCTGCACTAGGACTTGCTGGTCAGTAGTAAAATTATAAAATCTTTCAACACACTGCAGGCAAAAGATAAGGGTGTGGCTCAGTGGCAAAGCTCGGTGCATTTGAGGTTCTGGGTTCAAATCCCAGCATCATAGATAGATAGATAGATAGATACGTAGATACATAGATACATAGATGATAGATAGATAGATAGATAGATAGATAGATAGATAGATAGATAGATAGATAGATGATAGATAGATAGATAGATAGATAGATAGATAGATAGATGATAGATAGATAGATAGATAGATAGATAGATGATAGATAGATAGATAGATAGACAGATAATTATAGCCAGATCTGAAAAGATGAATTGGCCTTATTAACCATGAATAATATAGTTATAAAATGTCTAATTAAATTGAGTATACTATTCTTTTAATACCTCTCTTTTCTCTCTCTCTCTCTCTCCTTCTTTAATAGTAAGAATCTGGCCTGGCACTGGTGGCTCACACCTGCAATCCTAGCCACTCAGGAGGCTGAGATCTGAGGATCACGGTTCAAAGCCAGCCTGGGCAGGAAAGTCCGTGAGACTCTCATCTCCCACGAACTACCAGAAAACCTGAAGTGGAGCTGTGGCTCAAGTGGTAGAGCACCCGCCTTGAGCTGAAGAGCTGAGGGACAGCGCCCAGGCCCTGAGTTCAAGCCCCACAACCAAGTTTGTGTGCACATGCACACACACACACAGTCGCACACACACAAAAGTACAACTTTGGAGGTTCACTAGCACATAGATTATTGCCAGATTTCCTCTCTGTGGGGCGGTGGTGTGACCGTATTCAATGAAAGAACACCAGTTCCCCCCCTTCCCCCCTCCCCCTCCTCCTCCTCCTTCCCCTCCCCCTCCTCCTTCCCCTCCTCCCCCTCCTCCTCCCCCTCCTCCTTCCCCTCCTCCTCCTCCTCCCCCTCCCCCTCCCCCTCCCCCTCCTCCTCCCCCTCCTCCCTCCCCTCCTCCTCCTCCCCCTCCTCCTCCCCCTCCCCTTCCCCCTCCCCCTCCCCCTCCTCCTCCCCCTCCTCCTCCCCCTCCTCCTCCCCCTCCCCTTCCCCCTCCCCCTCCCCCTCCCCCTCCCCCTCCCCCTCCCCCTCCCCCTCCTCTCTCCCCCTCCCCATCTATTAGCCTCCCCCTCCTCCTTCCCCTCCTCCCCCTCCTCCTTCCCCTCCCCCTCCTCCTTCCCCTCCCCCTCCCCCTCCCCCTCCTCCTCCCCCTCCTCCTCCCCCTCCCCCTCCTCCTTCCCCTCCTCCTCCCCCTCCTCCTCCCCCTCCCCCTCCTCCTTCCCCTCCTCCTCCCCCTCCTCCTCCCCCTCCCCCTCCTCCTCCCCCTCCTCCCTCCCCTCCTCCCCCTCCCCCTCCCCCTCCCCCTCCCCCTCCCCCTCCTCTCTCCCCCTCCCCATCTATTAGCCTCCCCCTCCTCCTTCCCCTCCTCCCCCTCCTCCTTCCCCTCCTCCTCCTCCTTCCCCTCCTCCTCCCCCTCCCCCTCCTCCTTCCCCTCCTCCTCCCCCTCCCCCCTCCTCCTTCCCCTCCTCCTCCCCCTCCTCCTCCCCCTCCCCCTCCTCCTTCCCCTCCTCCTCCCCCTCCTCCTCCCCCTCCCCCTCCTCCTTCTCCTCCTCCCCCTCCCCCTCCCCCTCCCCCTCCCCCTCCTCTCTCCCCCTCCCCATCTATTAGCCTCCCCCTCCTCCTTCCCCTCCTCCCCCTCCTCCTTCCCCTCCTCCTCCTCCTTCCCCTCCTCCTCCTTCCCCTCCTCCTCCTCCTTCCCCTCCTCCTTCCCCTCCTCCTCCTCCTTCCCCTCCCCCTCCCCCTCCCCCTCCCCCTCCTCTCTCCCCCTCCCCATCTATTAGCCTCCCCCCTCCCCTGCTCTGCTCTGCTGGCCCCTCACCCCACAAGGGCGATCGCCCTTCCCATGAGAACCAGAACCCCCCAGCGAGGGGTGCCCGGCCCTGGCATGGGCCATGGGTACTTGCCACACAGCTTGTCGCTGAAGCTGCATTCTAGAAGCTTCCGGGCAGCGCCTCTCTCCTCCATCGCCTCAGTGTTTGGGGGCGGGGGGGGGGGACTCCACTCATCCGCTAGAAGCTTCCGGGGTGGGGGGGCACGGCGTGGTTCTGGAACACAGAGGGGCCCATGGAGGCAGCGTTTCTATTCATGTTCACCGGCTGCTGAGCGGGCTGGGCTGGAGCTCAGGGCCCAGGCAGCCGCCCGGAGCTTCTCCAGTCAAGGCTGGCTCTCGGCCACTTCAGCCACAGTGCCACTTTCTGACCTCGTGGGGGATCACGAGAGATCAGAGTCTCACAGGGAGTTTCCTGCCCGGGCTGGCCTTGAACCGCGATCCTCAGAGCTCAGCCTCCTGAGTGGCTGGGACGGCAGGCCTGACAAGACCCACCTCCTCTAGTACTTCTAGTCTGCTAGTTCGTTTCATTTTCTCTGACGTGAATTCCGAGAATGAAGACGCGGTGTAGCCGTCCTGAGAGATGAGCTGTTCACTTCCTCTGAAACTCGTGTGCCCTCAGCTAAAGGCAAGTGGCCAATAACATAAACACTCTAATTAATATGCAAACTAACCAGGCGCCGTGGCTCGCACCTGCCATCCCAGCTCCCCAGGAGGACAGAAGTTCAAAGCCAGCCTGAGCGGGAAAGCCCATGAGACTCTCGTCTCCGATGAACCACTGAAACACAAGAAGTGGAGCTGTGGTTCGAGTGGTAGAGCGCCAGCCGTGAGCGAAAAAGCTCAGGGGCAGCGCCAGGCCCTGAGCTCAAGTAGCAGGAACAGCGCACAGAGAGGCATGCACACACAGAGCCAGGAGCACAGGAGCTGGGCAAGGCCCAGCAACAGCTCTGCCAGGAGCTGACGAGGGCTAGAATCAGACGGCAGCCAGGCCAGCGCAGAAGCCGCTTGAAAATTCCTCTCCGCCACCTTCATTCTCCTTCCCCTTCCAGGACATTATCAGATGGAATTATTATTTGTGTTCCAAGAGTAGCCAGTCAAACAAGTTTGGCCCTTTGG